AGTCATATTTTGACTAAAGAATTTCTCTGCAAAAACAGAACAAAAAATAATCCTACAGGTCATATTCTCACTGTGTGCTTGGGTTATAGAATGATCAACTTTTTTCACCAAAGAAAGATTAAATTTTGTTTGGTGCTGAACTTAATGTTCCCTTTAAAATGTTTTACTTTGTATAATTGCATAGAATTAAGCATCTACATTACCAATTACCATTCTAACCAAATATATCATTGTATTACATTGTATTGTATTGTATATTCCCACCTGTTAGACTGGGAGGGAAGCTTCAGCTACAAACTGTTACCTGTTTTGAGATATGTATAGAATACTATGTAATTTTCATTGGCTTTAAACTTCTGACACTGACAGAGTCACTATATGAACATTTAAAAAAGTGATGCATGATCTTTCTTTGTAGTCAAATTGTGCTCAAATGAATGATTGCCAAGAAAAATGCCCTGTGCCAGAATATCACCTAAAGTTGGTACACTGTTGCTCCAAATCTGGTATTTTGGTGTAACTAAAGTTTAAGAAAGGTACTCTAACTGTGGGCTTGTGAAACTATTTCCTTAGCTTTTAAAATGCTTTTAAATATGCCTTTAAAATATATTTTCAAGAAGGAATTAAAAATATTTTATTACTCATTCCCAAAACTTGAAACAAATATGATTCCCCCCTCCCACCCCCCCGGACAGGAAGTGTATTTGTATTACTACATCTAAATTCCTATTGATATTGTCATTTGCCACTTGTCCTTTGACCCTTTTTATTTTTTATTTTTTTGGCAAGGCAGTTGGGGTTAAATGACTTGCCTAGGGCCACACAGCTAGTAACTGTCAAGTGTCTGGTCTGAGACTGGGTTTGAATTCAGGTCCTCCTGACTCCAGGGCCAGTGCTCTATCCACTGCGCCCCCTAGCTGCCCCTCCTTTGACCCTTTGATAGTGGTACCTACAGCAAGTTAAGAATAAGTCAACAGCTTTCAGGTTAGTGATTACTCAGAGCTGTTGCTGACTGTTTTGCCTGAACTGACAATTGTTGCTATCAGTCTAATTCGTTGGGCTGTCTCACAAACTTTGAGGTCAGTCAGTAAGCATTTATTAAACACCTGCTATGTGCTAGGCACTTGCTAGGCTCTGGGGAAGCAAAGAAAAGCAAAGAAAAGGACAGTCTCTGTTCTCAAGGAGCTCACATTCCTTTGCCTAGGGCAAACAATGACTTAGTGAAGGATTGTGTATACATTCCACATACTGCACATTCCATGGACATACTAAGAACAGGCTTTCCAAATCTGGACCCTTGTGATTACTACTAGCTTGTGTGTGGAAGGGAAAAACAAGACTTCTCAATCCAATGATGCTAATTACACCAATCGTTGCAACCTCTGATGTGTAACTTTGGCATAGAATACACTTGGATACAAGTGCATCTTTGTAGTTATGCCTCTTTTAACTCAAAAGCTAGAACTAGGATGTACAGAAATCTGCAGTATTATTTGGAAAGAATATAGTTTTGACTTTAAATGTTTATCTTAGGCTTCTTCTGTAATACAGAGTTTTCATATTGATTCTCTTCTTGTTTCATTATTTGAGAATTTATTTTATTCTACATATCTTCAAATTAGTGGGAAAGTTTGACATAGGAAATCACCAAATACTAATTTTACAGGTACATGCTGCCTATCGCAGTGCAGTGCTACTTCTCTCACTGCCTATACAGGATGCTATTTAGACATAATGGTTGTTTAAATATAGATCACTATGCTATGGATTTGATACTACAATCCTGTAGCTTAATATTTGCTATCTTACATTTTTAATGACTTTATTTTTAAGGGTATGATTTGTAACTGATTTTTATAAGCACCTGAATGTAGATTTGCAACTTAAAAAAAAAACCAAAATAAACTTTTTAACAATTTACAGGTTAATGCACTTAAAGGAAAAATGTGAAACTTTTTGGTCAATGCAATAAAATTTTTAAAAATTAAGTTGTTATGAAACTGTGCATTTGTTTATAAATTCCCTTGGAGAACAAAAAAGTAGAGCTGAAATAAAGGAAATACTCGTATGTTGCACAAAAGACACAAAACTATCCATTATGAGGAATGCACACATATTCCAAATATATTCAGGTAAATTATTTCTCAAAGGAAGAGCATAATAATGCAGATCAACACAAAACACTGGATAAAAACCAAAACATTTCTATTCTGCTTTATGAACGTTTTGATTTTCGTTGTTGCAGATTTACATTCCTGATTTGTTATTGATGATAATACTAAAAGGAACTTGTAGCCACTGTGAACATAAACCAACCAGCAGCTAAGAGAGGGGACCAAGAAGTATGCTGAAATTTAAAATTTGTTATTTGCGGATTAGTAAGCTTGTTACAAAAATCCATACAGAATTTTTTCTATTTTTCACATGTTCATCTAGTTTCATTCTGAAATGCCATTAGGATGACTTGGAATGCCACTGTCATAGAGGAGGTCTAATGCAGGGTCCAAGTTGAAGAGGGATTCCTTATTGCAACAAGAGTGAGGGACTGCCAATGAACACTGCCTTGTGTGTTGCAACACTGATTCCCATGCAATGTGAAGAGAATACAAGGAAGGCACCCAGCATGTTGAGGACATGGATGAGAGTCACATGAGACAGACAGGTATGAAGATTGTGATCTGAAGAGAATACCCACATTACTGAAATCACAGTAAAATTCACAATACAATTACTAGAGTATTGGGAATATATTTGCTAGTTTTCAAAATGCTTTCACATACATTATTTCATTTAATCCTCACAACAGTCCTGTGAAGTGGTTAGTCCAAATATTATAATGCCCATTTTATAGGGACCACCCTCAGTTTAAGGAAACTGAAGCTCAGAGAGATGAAGTTATTTGTCCAAAATCACACACTGAACTGAACTTAATATAAAGAATATATAAAAATAATATAAAGAAATTGAATATAAAGAATTGAGATGGGGCAGCTAGGTGGCGCAGTGGATAGAGCATCAGCCCTGGATTCAGGAGGACCTGAGTTCAAATCCGGAAGCAGACACATAACACTTACTAGCTGTGTGACCCTGGGCAAGTCTCTTAACCCCATTGCCTAACCAAAAAAAAAAAAAACCACAAACAAACAAACAAAAAATTGAGATAAAACTCAGGTCTTCTGACTCTTATTCCAGTATTCATTTCCACTACCCCATAAGGCTATTTCTAACATCTCTTCTATCTAAAATTGAAGATTATTCTTGCCCTCATGCTTGTACATGACAGATGTACAAGTATTGGGCTGTCCCATGGTTTCCCAGGTTTTTGGATAAAGGTTTGATTTGAAGAGGAATGACATGTCCCAAAAGTTATCTGGGGCTCTTTGTGCCATGGCCATCTCTGATAGATTTACATATTAGTAGTTATATTTTTATGTATAGGGCTTGGTTCCAATTCTAAGCTTCTCCCATGCATAGTCTGTGTACAGAAATTACACAAGATGAGTTTTGTCAAAAGAGGGGGAGCTTTAGTATGGAGCCTGCCAGACTCTCTCAACAAACTCCACTTGGGAAAGGTCCAATCAAATCCTTTGAACTGCATCCTTTTACTTTTTCTGTAGAGACCCAATATGAGGCACATTCTGACCCTAGCACCAAAATGAGCCAAATTCTAATGTTCTCAGGGGAACCTTGGGTGGGAATCATTAGTCAATTGAGAGGGATTTCTGAGATGGAATCCATTCTGTACAAATTGAGAGACCTGAGTCCTTAGTTATGATTTTTTTCTTTTTTTGCTTTTGGGTGAGGTAATCAGGGTTAAGTGACTTGCCCAGGGTCACACAGCTAGTAAATGTCAAGTTGTCAAGTGTCTGAGGCTGTGTTTGAACTCAGGTCCTCCTGACTCCAAGGATGGAGCTCTATCCACTGTGCCACCTAGCTAAGTCTAGGTCAAGATCTAAAAGACAGGGAAGAGGGAGTTAGGTGAGGTGCCTGATGTTAAATAGTGCTGGACCTGGAGTTAGAGACCTAGGATTGAAACATGGTTTCATCTGTAAAATGAAGAGAATAATACTTGTACAATTCACAGGACTGTTTTCAGGAAACGGCTGTGTAGATCTTCAAGTGTCATACTTAAAATGCATCGCTTGGCATGCAGGAGAGAGATTAACTGGTAAGACAGGCAAGTTCAATTTTTTTTTAACTTACCAACTCCTTGTTTTTCCAGTATTTAGCAGTAAAACCAGGATAAAAGAAGAGTTACTATATGTTCTTTCCAGGGAGCAGGACAAGGGAGAAAATAAAATAGTACTCTCCAAACTAGGGGGGAAAGGTGGAAACACAGCCCAAAGAACAGATGTGGCGGACACAAGAAACAAGGGAGCGTTTAGGGGCGTTAGGAGACTGTGACATCCCGGAGCAAGACATTTTTCCTCTAATATAACACCCAACCCAGAACACTAGAACCCATGGAATATAGCACGTGCCCAATGATGTTCATAGTGAAAAACAAAGAGAAAAAATAAGTTTCTTGGGATTGTAGGATTCTATCTAAGGCAAACCCATTCTTGTTTCCTTTTACTCCTAACTTCCTATGTAGTTATGGAAGTCAAATGAAAATCAAACCCTAAAGTTATTGACATTTTTGGAAGAAAAAATTACAGAAAACATACTTTAATTCACTGAGCAAGATTGTGTGTATGTTCTGTTAAGGCATCACAGTATGGCAGACAGGCACAGAAAGGCCTTCAGACGGCCTCCATCCCTCATTTGACAGACCAAGCCCAGGCCCGCAGCCTTTTAACCCCTCGCCCAGTCTGGCCCCTCAGACTGGGTTCCCCCTGTAGAAACCAGCGGGGGGCGTGGCGGCGCATGCGGGCTGCCTAGCGGTTCCACGCGCTGCTGGGGAGGGTGGTGCCCGCGGGCCGAGGGCGGATCAGGGTGCAGCCGAGGGGGCGGGAACGGGCCGGCCGCGCCCCGTGCCTCCGCAGCAGACACCGCAGTAGCCGGCGGCTCTGTGTCGGTGCGGCTGCTTCTCGGGCGCCGCAGACCTGGAGGAGCTGGAGCTGCAGCGCGGCGGGGTCCCGGCCCCGGCCGGACAACGGCTCCTCCCGGCGGGGCCCTCCGAGCAGCCACTGGGGACGGACGCCGAGGTGGACGTGGTCGGCGGCGGGGACGGTGGTGGGAGATGCGGGGCCGGTAACGCGCTGCGCTGGTTCACCTCCGTGCTGGTCTACGCTGCCTTCCTGGGGCTGGTGAGAGCCGGGGGGCCAGGCGGGAGAAATTGAAACGCGCAGGTATTCGGGGGGACTTACGTGCGCCCCAGTCCTTGAAATGACGGCTGCTCCCGTGGTGCTTTAAAGTTGACAAACCGAGGGTGTCCCATTTGGTGCTGACATCAACCCTAGGAGGTAGGGTCCCTTGTTATCCCCATTTTACAGATGGGAAAAGTGTGACTTGCCCAGGGGTCACCCAGCTAGTAAGTGTCCGAGGTCGGATTTGAACCAGGGTCTTCCTGACTGCCGGCTCTCTTTATCCACTGCACCATCTAGCCCCCACCTGGCTTTCTTACCTCCCTCTGCCCCTCTTCGCATTCACGTCAATCCTCCGGCTTATTTTCTCCTGCAGCGCCGACTTCCTACTCCAGCATGCACTTAGAGTTTCTTCTGTTTTGTACCTATTTTAGGGAAACAGAATGACGCACCCTGAAATGGACCTGCCCTCTAGAGCTCCAGGCTCCTGCCCCCCAAGTCCTGCCAGTGTGTTTCTCCTGGAGTGCGCTTGCAGGACTGGAAATGTGTTTGCCCACGCTCCTCACCTGACGCTTAACCCAGTGGGGCTCCTGCCCGGAGCTGGGCCGCCCGCACGTGGCCCCTTACCTGCTGGGCTCCCCCACACCTAGTTGTGGTTTGAGTGTCTGGTGAGAGCCGCAGCCCGGGAGGGCTCCGCTGTAATTAATGTGCAGCCGGAAGATTAATCAGAAATGCCTCTCCCCTGTCAGCCACGCAACCCTCTTCTAGGGTCATTTATTTAGGTGTGTCCCTCCTCTGCAAAATACGGGAGATGGACTAAATGGCCTCTGGGGACCCTGCTGGCTGCATCAGCATCTGGATCTTTGGGTCATCCGTTTCTTGTTTTGGACCTGCGACTGTTGGCTAAGACCTAAAATGACCTTTAACCCGGGCAAGGGGTGTATTATTAAATTAATGATAAGGCTGCTTAGGGTTAGAGGCTTGCTGAGCAGTGTATTGGAGTGGTAGGAGACCTGGGCTTGGATTCAAAAACCAGCTTTGTTGTTTACTGTTTCTTCCGTTTTCCTTCCTCGTCGGGAAAATGAATGAGTTGAAGTAGATGAACTAAGGCCCTTCCAGACTTAAATCTGTAATTATTGTTACTTGATCCCTTTTCAGATCCCTGCGATTTTTAAAAGGTCTGAACTGTTGAATTCCTCTTTAAAATGTCTTAGGGTTCTGCTGACACTTTTCCTTTAAGAATACCATTTATTAAAAACTACTTTCTAGAAGCTTTTTTTGTGCATCCACTGTTTTTATAGATATTTAATGATTATTAATATGTGTGTGTGGGTGGGTGGGGGAGTTTGGCTTAATAGGTACCCTTCCCAAAGTATTAAAAATCTAAGTGCAACTACCAGCAACCTGATTGAAGTTCTTGCCTTTTGAGTCAAAATTAAAAAAAACTTTTACCTTGTGTCTTTCTAGTTAGAAAATAGTCTTTCAGTCATGCAGAACAGCATATATTTGATATATATATGGTACAGTATAGATATGCAATAGAAGGTAATAGAGTCATTAATTAGAAAGGGACCTTAAAGATCTCATCCAGATTACTCATTTTACTGATAAGGAAACTGAGATTCAGAAAAGATCCATGAATCACAGAAGTATTAAGTAACAGAACCAGGATGCTGACACAGGTCCCCTAAGTTCAAATTCAGTGCCATTTCCAAATGGTTTTGTCTGCTTTCAGAAACAAAGCAGTTTCTAGTAAAACATATTTATACAGATCATACTTTGTTTTTTAAAATTTTTTTAACATAAATAGTATTTTATTTTTTCTGATTACATTTAAAGGCAATTTTCAACATTCATTTTTAATTAGATTTTGAGTTCCAAATTTTTCTTCTTCTCTTCCCTGCCCACTCCCTCCCCCACAGCAAGATATAGGTTATATGTGTGCAGTCACGTAAAACATATTTCCACATTAGTCATTGTGGAAGAAGAAACAGAAAAAAAGGAAAAAATCATGGAAAAACCCCAAAGACCTCAGAGTTATTTTAATTTGCATTTCTCTAATCAGTAGTGATTTGGAGCTTTTTTTCATATCATTGTAGGTAGCTTTGATTTCTTCATAGGGGTGATACTTTATTAGTGTCAGTATAGTGTAGTATAGCAATTCTCAATTACAATAGTATACTTCCATCTGCATTCAGAATCCATCACTTCTTTTTCTTGATGTGGCAAGCATTTTCCATGAGTCGTTTGGAATTGTCATGGATCATTGTATTGCTTTGAAGAGCTAAGTCAATCATAGTTGATCATCGTACAGTATTGCTGTTACTATGTACAATGTTCTCCTCATTTTGCTTACTTCATTCAGCATCAGTTCATGTAAGTCATTCCAGCCTTTTCTAAATCTGCTTGCTTATTTCTTATAGCACAATAGTATTCCCTTACATTCATATATGTGGTATTTCTTACAGCACAATAGTATTCCCTTACATTCATATATGTGGTATTTCTTATAGCACCATAGTATTCCTTTATACTATATAATTCATATATAATATATCCTGTATTCCTATATAGTATTCATATATGAATGTAAGGGAATACTGTTGTGACTGTAAGAAATAATGAGGAGGCAGACTTCAGAAAATCCTGGAAAGACTTGTATGGACTGATGCTCAGTGAAGGGAGCAGAACCAGGAGAACGTTGTATACGTAACAGCCATGTTATTTGATAACTAATGATGATAGACTTAGCCTTTCTCAGCAATGCAAGGATCTAAGACATCTCCAAAGATCTCATGATGGAAAATGCTATCCACATCCAAAGAAAGAACTATGGAGTTTGAATGCAGATGGAAGCATAGTATTTGCTATTTTTTTCTTCTGTTATATTTTGTTTCCTCTTTCTGGTGGTTCCTCCTATTGGTTCTAATTCTTCCTTACAAAAAATCTGTTTAATAGGAATGTATATGTATAAACTATATCAGATTGCATGCCATCTTGGGGAGGGAGAAGGGGAAGAAAAATTTTAAACTCAAAAGTTTGTGGAAGTGATTGTTGGTGAATCAAACTAAACTAATAAAAAAAATAAGGAAAAATTCATATACCACAACTTGTTCAGCCATTCCCCAGCTGATAGGAATCCCTTCAATTTGCAGTTCTTTGCCACCACAGAAAGACCTGCTATAATTATTTTTGTACATGTGGGTCCTTTCCCCTTTTTTATGATGTCTTTGGGATACAGACTTAGTAGTAGTATTGCTACATCAAAGGGTATGCACAGTTTGATTCCCTTAGGGCATAGTTCCAAATTGCTTTCCAGAATAGTTCCCTCAGTTCACAATCCTACCAACTATGTATTAGTGTCCCAATTTTCCAACATCTTCTCCAACGTTATAATTTTCCTTTTCTGTCATATTAGCCAATCTGATAGGTGTGAGGTGGTACCTCAGAGTTGTTTTAATTTGCATTTCTCTGATCAGTAGTGATTTGGAGCTTTTTTTTCAGATCATTGTAGATAGCTTTGGTTTCTTCATACATACTTTATTAGTGTCAGTATAGTGTGGTATAGCAATTCTCAAACTTCTTGGTCACAGGATGCATTTAAATTCTTAAAAATTAACCCCCAGAAGCTTTTGTTTATGTGAGTTATATTCTTTGATATTTATGGTATAAGAAATGCATAAGTAAATAAACTGATGAATTTTTAAAATTTATTTATTTTTAGTTTTCAAGATTCACTTCCACAAGATTTTGAGTTCCAAATTTTCTCCCCATTTCATCTACCCCCAAGATGGCATGTATTCTGAATACCCCTTCCCCTAATCTGCCCTCCCTTCTATCTCCCCCCTCCCCTTCTCTTATCAGCTTCCCCTTCAATTTTCCTATAGGGCAGGATAGATTTCTATACCTCATTTCCTGGATATCTTATTTCTCAGTTGCATGTGAAAACAATTTTTTTTAACATTTGTTTTTATAACTTTGGGTTCCAAAATTTCTCCCTTCCTCCCTCCCCAGCCACCTTCATTGAAAAGGCAAGCAACTCAATACAGGTTATACATGTGTAGTCATGTAAAACACTTCCATAGTAGTCATGTTGTGAAAAACTAGGTATATTTCCCTTCATCCTACCCTGCCCCCATTTATTCTGTTCTCTCTTCTGACCCTGTCCTTCCTTAGAAGTGTTTGCTTCTGATTACCCTCTCCCCCAATCTGCCTTCCCCTCTATCATCTCCCTGCTCTCTTGTCTCCTTTCCCCCCTATTTTCCAGTAGGGTAAGATAGATTTCCATACCCAACTGAGTGTGTATGTTATTACCTCCTTAAGTCAAATCCGATGAGAATAAGATTCACTCATTCCCTCTCACCTTCCCTGACTTCCCCTCCACTGTAAAAGCTTTTTCTTGTTTGTTTTATGTGAGATAATTTACCCCATTCTACCTCTCCCTTTCTCCTTCTCCCAGTGTAATCCTCTCTCACCCCTTAATTTTATTCTTCAGATATCACCCCTTCATCTTCAGCTCACTATGTGCCCTCTATCTGTCTGTCTATCTATCTATCTATCTATCTATCTATCTATCTATCTATCTATCTATCTATCTATCATCTATCTATCTCTCTATCTCTCTATACGTATATTTTTTTCCCTCCGACTACCCCAATATTGACAAAGGTCTCATGAGTTACAAATATCATCTTTCCATGCAGGAATATAAGCAGTTCAATCTTAATAAATCCCTTATGATTTCTCTTTCCTGTTTACTTCTTTGTATTTCTCTTAAGTCTTGTATTGAAAGTCAAATTTTCTATACAGCTCTGGTCTTTTCATCAAGAATGCTTGAAAGTCCTTTATTTCATTGAATATCCATTTTTTCCCCTGAAGGATTATACTTGGTTTTGCGGAGTAGGTGATTCTTGGTTGTAAGCCTGTCTCCTTTGCTCTCTGGAATATTATATTCCATGCCCTGCAGTCCCTTAACATAGAAGATACTAAATCTTGTATTATGCTGATTGTATTTCCATAATACTTGTATTTCCATAATACTTTCTGGCTGCTTGTAATATTTTCTTCTTGACCTGGGAACTCTGGAGTTTGGCTATAATATTCCTAGGAGTTTTCCTCTGAGGGTCTCTTTCGGGAGATGATCAGTAGATTCTTTCAATTTCTATTTTGCACTCTGTAAAATATCAGGGCAGTTTTCCTTGATAATTTCTTGAAAGATGATGTCTATGCTCTTTTTTTGATCATGGCTTTCAGATAGTCCAGTAATTTTTAAATGATCTCTCCTATATCTATTTTCCAGGTCAGTTGTTTTTCCAATGAGATATGTCACATTATTTTCTGTTTTTTCATTCTTTTGATTTTGTTTTACAATGTCTTGATTTGTCATAAAGTCATTAGTTTCCAATTGCACCATTCTAATTTTTAAGGAAATATTTTCTTCAGTAAGCTGTTGTACTTCCTTTTCCATTTGGCCAATTTTGCTTTTGAAGGCAATCTTCTCCTCATTGGCCTTTTTGGACCTCTTTTGCCATTTGGGTTAGGCTATTTTTTAAGGTAATATTTTCTTCAGTATTTTTTTGGGTCTCCTTTAGCAAGCTGTAGACTTGTTTTTCAGGATTTTCTTGCATCACTCTCATTTCTCTTTCCAGTTTTTCCTCTACTTCTCTTATTTGCTTCTCAAAATCCCTTTTGAGCTCTTCCATCGCCTGGGGCCAATTCATCTTTTTCTTGGAGGCTTTCAATGTAGGAGCTTTGACTATGTTGTCTTCTTCTGTTTGTATGTTTTGATCTTCTTTGTCACCAGTGAAAGATTCTGTGGTCTGACATTTTTTTGTGCTGTTTGCTGATGATCCCAGCCACTTATTTGACTTTTAAACTCTTTGTTAAGGTAGGGGTCAGCTTCCAGTGTGGAGAATGTACTGTCCCAAGCTTTGGGGATTTTGTGCATTTGTTTTCAGAGATACATCTACGGACCTGTACATTTTCAGTTCTTCCAGTTTGGTATAGTAAGGGGTGAGGTGTTTACTCCTTTCTTGGCCTGTGCTCTGTTCCATGAGTGACCACAAGCACTCTTTTCTGCCTTGGAACTGTGAGGGATTTATATTACCATAATGTATTCAACCATTCCCCACTGCCACCACAAGCTCCACCATGCCAGTCCTCCTCCTAGCCCCAGAACTATGACCAAGATCCAAGCACAGGCAAAGCAAGAGAATCCTGCACTAGCAAAGAGATCCCTATAATCCCCCTCTGATCAGCCACTGGATCCCCCCCTCAGGCTGTGGACCAAGAGCTCCTGGAAGCAGCCACCTAGAGGCCTGTAGAGACTGGGGCTGGAACTAAGCTTCTCTCTTACCAAGGTCACAGACTTTTCCTACTGACCTAAGTTGTCTTTGGCGTTTGTGGGTTAAGAAGACTGAAAACCACCACAGCTGCCTGTGATTCAGTCCTGGATGGGTGCTTCAGGTTCGCTAAGGCCAGTTTTGCCTGTGCTCCCACACCAAAATGCATTCCTCTTCCCACCTGGCACAATATACCTTTCTGATATACCATCCAGGTTGTCTTGGGCTGGAAATTTGTTTCACTCTGTCTTCTTGTGGGTTCTGCTGCTTTAGAATTTGTTTAGAGCCATTATTTACAGGTATTTGGAAGAGAGCTGAAGCAAATCACTGCTTTTACTCTGCCATCTTGGCTCTGAGCCCCACTTGTAACTCTTGAAAACTGTATTATTCCTGATAAATTTTTAAAATTTATTAATTCATTAAAAATACCAATAATAAACCTATCACATGTTAATGTAACATTTTTTATAAAAAAAAATTCTAAAACAAAAAATAAGGAGAAGAGTGGCTTTTTAAAAAAAACATTTCATAGACCTCATAAACATCTGACTTAATAGAAGATGGATTTTCATGTCTGTTTTTGCATTTAATATTTTGTTGTGGTTGAAGTATATGAAGAAATTAGGTCAGCGGATAGAGCACTGGGCTTGGGATCAGGAAGACTCATCTTCATGAGCTGAGATCTGGCCTCAGACACAGTAGTTGTGGGACCTTGGACAAGTCACTTAACCCTATTTGCCTCAGTTTCCTCATCTGTAAAACGAGCTAGAGAAGAAAATGGCAAACCATTCTAGTATCTTTGCCAAAAAAAACCCAAACCCAAATTGGGTTACAAAGAATTTGATACAACTGAAATGGCTCAACAACAATATGAAGAAAATCACAGATACAGTCAGTAGTCAGTAAATATTAAGCCCCTACTATGTACCAGACCTTGTGTTAAGTGCTGGGGCTACAACATGAATAAAGAATTACTATCCTGGCTCTCAAGAAGTTTAATATCTAATGGGGGAAGACAATATCTCCCAAAAAAACAGAAGCTGAAAAGGGAGGGTGATTGAGTAATTTATCTGCCTTGAGGGAATGGTGGGGAGATCAGAGAAATCCTGCAGCCAGGCAGGATAAATGAGATGTCTATGCTGAGTTCCCTCCTTAAATGGAGATTTTGTAGTTCTTGACAGTGCTCTCCAATCAGAGACAGGGAGTTGGCAAAAAGGAGGAGTATTTTAATAGCCTTTTCAGGTAATTGTGTTTCTTTCTTTCTTTCTTTTTTTTTTGGCATATTTTGTTGTACAGTGTGCTGCTGTTGAGATTAGAAGAGATTCTAATTAAATTAAAATTAAAATCTAATTGAATGATTTTTTAAAAAAAATACATAGAAGAAAACAGAGAAACTAAGTCTGCTGCTGTTAGGCTATGTCTACTAGGCTCTGGTTGAAGTTTAATGACTATAGCATTTTGTTGGGTAAATAGATTAAGATTTCTATGACATAAATATTTGCAGTACTTATAAATTATGATATCCTGGAATATAAGTGATAGTGAAGATGAACCTTTTGAAAAATCATTCCTAATGGTCTCACACTGATTAAGTTGCAGGGCAGGCTGCTCATACTTCGAAAAAAGTTAGCGTAGGGTATAGAGGCCTGGAGTTGGAAATCTCTGACAATATATTAGCCATGATGCAAGTCACTTAACCTCTTAGTGCCCCAGGAACTCTTTAAGACTATGTTACGATTTCTTTCTTGCAGAGAGAGAATGTCCTACGTAGATGAACTCACCTGTTGCAACCAAAATTTTTTACTACTTTTCTCAAGGATTTGGATTTTTAAAATTTAAGATCATGTGATAATTCCATATACATGTAAAATAATTAAAATTTTAGTTTTGGTATTATTAATTATTAAACTGTTAACCTGGAACATTGTTTTAAGATTCTCTAACTCAAAATTGAAATGCACTAGCCAAAGAACAAGGTATATTTGCTTTTTTCAAGGAGCTGTTTTTTTCAAATTTTGTAGCCCATCAAAATTAGAAAAGCATCTGTATATCAGAAACAGGACTGGCCATTCAGGAACTTGTAGATCTTGTAATCCTAGTGTAGCCACTGTTATTTTCCTCCTATTATGGAAATATGTTTACCGTGATTTCAAATGTATAATTGACATCATAGTTCTTTTCTTCACAGTGGATTATTGGAAAAATGGGAGGGAGAGAATTTGGAACTCTAATTTTAAAAAAAATGTTAAAAATAAATTATAAATTAAAAAAAGAAAGTGCTCTTGATATTTGCCCAAATGTAATTCAGCATACTCCATTCTGTCAATTTAATCTGAACCCAGCTCACTGTCGACAGCAGGATCCAACTCTCCTTGGTCCCTGGTAGAGACAGGCCAGACCTTAGGCTCAGTATCCCTGGGAATAGGCATAGCAGACCACCAGTTCTATTTCCAGCCAGCCATCACAGCCATTAGCAAGGGCTGCCCTCCTTACAGAGAAAGGGTCCATTATCCTCACCACCACCATTAGTTGCTGATCAGTTGCCATCTATGGGGCAAACAAGCCAACCTACTTAAATCAGCAAAGTATTCTGATGGAGAGATGGGAGGTACCATGTGCTACAGGAGTCCAACCACTACACTCCTCTTGACTATTGCATTCCCTTTGACCCCAGTGGAGATAGTCCAAGATCCAAAGTACTGAGAAATGCAGTGTTTGTTTTATTTTGTGTTTATTAAGTTCAGAATAAAAATAAACTTTTCAAAAAAAGAAATGACATGTTGAGAAGATGCGTTTGCTTTACCATTCCCCCCAAGGACTACTGGGCCTGTCTGTCTAACTTGTAGCTGAAACCTATATGTGTTGTCTACAGCATTAGAATGTGAGTTCCTTAAGAGCAAATATTATCTGATGTTTCTCTTTGTATTCCTAGCACTTCAGACAATGCTTTGAACATAGTAAATGCTCAGCAAATGCTTTTTTATTCATTCAAATATATGTTCTGATAGATCAGCCAAATGGACATCGTCCATCTGCATATCATGGTTTGGACAATAGAAACAGTATAGAACCTACTAAATGAAACCTCCAAAGAGGTCATCCCAACAGTTCACCTAGGAAAAGTCAAGTGGCTAAAAAATTACCATTGTCCAGACCACACAGGTTTACATATAATTTAATGATTGTAAAGTTTCATTTTTTTTTAAAAACCCTAGGGTATGAGCATTGGTATGATAGGACCTACATTTCAAGACTTGGCTGTGAATGTGAATCGCAACATCAGTGATATTTCTTACATTTTTGTGGGCCGTGCATGTGGGAGTATAAGTGGTTCTGTGATTGGTGGATTTCTCTTTGACCACATGAATCATAATTTAATTTACGGTAAGTAGACTACCTCAAACAGGTCATCTTGTGACTTTGCAGTAGATATGATGTTTGTATTAATGCCTCTGGAAACAGCTGGCCTCATTCAACATGACCTTGGTTCAAGCCCTGTCTCTGACACAACAGTCTATGTGACCCTGAACATTTAAACTCTTAGTGCCCCAGGCAGCCCTCTAAGACTATAAATTGCAGAGCAGATGTTGACCTCTACTAGCAGAGGTGGTTTTCTCATTTGGCGTTCCCTAGACATGTGAAACAACAGATCCAATGAAAAGTATGAAAGTTAATATTAACCTAGGAATTGATAGCTATCTATGTGTATGGATGTATAGTATTAAGGTATTGTGTTTATATATTTTATTTAGCAGTTAGTAAGCAGCTTGTGTGATTCCAACATGGGAAGAGAACTAAACAAGGTGAATTTCCCGCATCTTGCTCCCAAGATGGGAAGTTAGTTTTATTCTGGGGCTACTGTGGAGATGGGTCACCTCTAGGAAGAGTCCAGGATCCTTAGGTCTACTCAGAAACCCACTGTTACTCTGGGAACTATGTGGAATCCAGAGTCTTTTAAACCAGGACTATACAGATTCTTGGAATCAGAAGGAATCTCAGAGGTCATGTAGTGCAAGTAATACCTGAATGTGATTCATCTTTGCAATGTCCCCAGCAAGTTCCTATCCAGCTTCCACTTGCAGATCTCCAGTATGAACTTACAGGTGCATGCTGTGGCATCCTGTTTCATTTCTGGACAGCACTGGTTGTTAGAAAGTTATTTCTTTTATCAAGATAAAGTCTAATTCTCTACAACATTTACCCATTATTCTTAGTTCTGCCTTTTGGTACCAAGCATAGCAAGTTTTAATTCTTTTGTAGCCATTCAAGAATTAAGAGACAGCTATCCTGTTCTCTATAAGTCTTCTTCAGGCCAAACATCCCATTCTGGGTCAAGGTCAATATGGTGGGATTGCTTTAGATCTAAAGAAGGTCCTGGATGCCCATTCTGGCTCTGTGATGACAGGGCTAGGTCAGCAGTAGATTGTATTTGGGGATGAAGGATGAATGGGTGTTTGCTGACGTTTCTTTCATAATATTCCATGTGACAGTTAAGGAATTTTTCATACTTTTTATATTGGACCTTTCTTCCTCACCTTTGAAATCTGTGGTGAAGTCTTTTGACGTTATACAATGCATACCTCGTATTTTATAGAAAATTTTAGTTCTGATAAATCTTCAAGAAAGCATGAGATACTGTTTATTGAATTCAAAAGTTAAAAGAGAAATTCCTTTGTTGAGGATAAGAAACCATTTTTTCCTTCCTAACTGGTGAAAACATTTGAAAGTCAAAGAAAATCCTATTGAAGAAAAATTTTTTTTTTACCAAACTTAATTTTGAAAGTCATAATTTTCCCACAGAGATGACTGTTGTTGTAGAGTCTCAACTGGTTGAAGGCTATGGTAGTGATACTTTTAAGAGATCAGTAGATGTCTCCTATTGTCTGTCCTGCCATGGTGCTTTTATGCCCAAGTTTATCCTTGGTCTTTTGGGTGACTTAACCTTTTGGGGACTTAGTTTCCTCATCGTCAAATGTGGAGGTTGGACTAGGTGACCTTTTTATTTCTAATTTTATTTTATTTCTTTGATTAGCATTCAGGGCCTGCCTCTTAACTCTGATACTGTCCTCTGCCTCACCCTCCTCATCTCTGTATTCTGCACAATCTCTACTGCTTTATCTTGATCCTATTATTTCTCTAGGCTCATGGGTATTTTCCCTGCTCTCTGTCAGTTCATGCTCATTATGTTTTCCTAGGTCTGGCTCAAACTTCAACTCCATGAAGCCTTTCCTGACCCATCTTATTATTTAGTCTCCACTTAGGATTTATGTATACATTTTATGCTGTTCTGTTATTTTTGCATAATGGTAACAATAGCTTGCATTTATGTAGTGCGCTGAGGTTTGCAAGTATCTCATTTCATCAGCTTCAGGTGCTGCTTCGTTATTGTTTTCTAATTGTTTCAGGTAGGTGTGTTTCTCCAGGTACATTATAAAGTTCATAAAGGCATTAATGAGTCTTTTACATTTGAGGTGCCTATAAAGCAAATGAATTTAGAGGACCAGGAAACAGACGGTGAATCTAAGAGCTTATAACATGGTCTTGTGAAAAGTATGTCAGAAGTACAATATCTCAGGATGAGCTGAAGTCCAAGTACTTAAAAAAATTGCTTTTTTGAAAGCTATTTTGAAAGAAAAAGTGATAGGACTTTTACTTGAGCATGAACGGGATTGATAACTGACAACAGAGAGAATGCAAAACTGCTCAATTTTTACTTTGCTTCTATTGTCTCTGCTAAGGAGAATGACTTTTATACTGGAAATGACAGAACAAAAATTAGTAAAAGGAAGTTGATACCCAAAGTATGCCAAGAGATAATAAGAGAGTGCCTGGTTGCCCTCCATGAATTCAGGTCACTTGGACCACATGAAATACATCTTTAAGTCCTAAAATAATTGGCAGGCATGATCCCAAGAAACTGTCAGTGATACCAGAGATGATGGAAAACAGCAGAACTTCCACAATTTAGGAGAAGGAAAAAGGTCTTGCTTTTTCGAAAAGAGAAGAGAATAGTAAGTAAAGTATCAGCCAGTGAGCTTGGCTGATTCCTGGGAAAATTAGAGAATGGATGACTAAAGAGATAAGGAAATGGTGATTACACTGCATTACCTCATCTAGAACAGATCATGTCAGATTAACCTTATTTCCTTTTTTGACAGGATTTCTAAAAGGAATAATGCTGTAGATAGTTTATCTAGATTTTAGTAAAGCTTTTGATAAAGTATGCTATTATTATAGGGAAGATGGAGAGATCTGGATTAGACAATGTGCAGTCTGATGTATTCAGGACTGAGGGCTAGGCTTAAAGAATAGTTGTTAATAGTTCAAAGGCAGGAGCTGCCCCAGAACAGTTCCCTAAGGGATCCATGCTAGGTCCCGGGCTGTTTAACATCTTTGTCAGTGACTTGAATTAAAAACAAAAATGGAATGCTTCTCATATTTACAGATGATAGCAAGCTCGGAGGGGGATAGCTAACACATTGGATGACCACATCAGAATCCCCTAGGATCTTGATTGGCCAGAGAATTCGTTGGAATCTAATAAGATGAAATTCATTAGGGTTAAAAGTTGAGTGTTATCCTTAGATAACAAAGTGGATACAAGGTGGAGGAGGCATGGTTAGATGGCAGTTAAGAAAAAGATAGGGCGGTAGAAAAAAAAAAAGCAAATACAGTCTTGCTTCATTGATAGGCATAACTTCCAGGAATAGAGAGATGATAATCCTACTGTATTCTGCCCTCATCAGACCTCAGGTGCACAATTGTGTTTATTTCTCAGCACCATAGTTTAAGGACATTGATTAGCTGAAGAGTGTCCAGAACAGAGCAACCAAGATGGGCAAGGGGGTTGAATCTGTGTTCTGTGAAGATTAGTTGAAGGAACTGGTTATGTTTAAGCTAGGGAATAGAAGACTTGGAGTGGGGGCATAATAGCTGTCTTCAGACATTAAAGGGCTGTCACGTGGAAGGAATTTCTTCTGTGTGGCCCCAGAGGGCAAAACCAGAAGTACTGGGGAGAAGTTGCAAAGAAGTTAATGGAGACTTGATGTCAGGAAAACCTTTCTAACAATTAGAGCTGTCTAAGAGTGGAATGGTCTCCTTCTAGAGGTGGTGGGTTTCCTCCTTGGAGGTCTTCAGGTAGTGGTGAAGTGAGCACTTGTCCCATAGGGTATAGGGGGGATTCCTTTCCTGTATAGATTGTACTACACAGCCATCCCAGTCCCTTCCAGCTCTTGGATCTTGGGGTTCTCTGATTCTGTGAGTTAGTACAGTGGTGCTGAATAAATGTTGATAAAACTTGAACTTAAAAAAAAAGTACCTGACGCTTCTCCAGGCTGATTGCTATAGAAGTTAAGGAAAAGGAGCCACAAGTCACAGTCATAGCTGTATGAGTGATATCCATGTGCAGTCTAATGTCACATGCACTTCATCATATACACACACTGAGATGCCCTTGGATATACACAACCAGAGTTAACATACCACTGACCTGTCCACATGCACACTAACACAGGGGTCTTATGTATGAAGGTACATAGCAAACATTATATTCACATTGAGATATAAGCTTCCAAGAACGTCAGAGTTAGGACTTCGGAAGTTCTCTAGTCCATACTGTCGTGGAATGCACACGCACGCTCACACACACACACGCACACATGAACACAGACACTCCCCTATACCTATCTGTTTACCTCAGATACCAGTTGTTGATAAATGAGAGTTTATCTGGAGGAAAGGCACTAGGATGGGTAGAGGGACTAGAACCAAGGCTGTCTGAGGCCACATCAAAGTAACTGAAGATATTTATTTAGAGAAGGAAGGACTTGGAGGGTGACTGATATGAAAGTTGCCTTCTGGGAATCTGTAGAGTTGTTACAGGGAACACCTTCTCCTGCTTGGTCCCTGAAAGCAGAACTGAGTAACAGGTGGATTTGTGGTACAGATTTTGGTTCAGTGAATGTAAAAACTTGATAGCAGTTAGGGCTGCCTGAAAGTAATTGACTGCTGTAGCGGTGAGTTCCCTGTTCCTGGAGGCTGTTCAGAGGGAGACTGAATGACTGTCTAGCTGTGTGTTGAACTAACTGAGGGGTTTTAAACTTGGAGTCCAGGAACTTGTTTTTGTAGTATTTTGATAGCTGTATTTTAATGTAATTTGTTTTCTTTGTAATCCTATATATTTCATGTATTTAAAAACTCTTCTGAGAGTGGCTCAGCAGGCTTCACCAGACTGTTAGTGGGGTCTATGGCACAAAAGAGGTTAAGAACATTTATTGTAGATGTTCCCTGTGATTTTTTGACAGTATAGTTGGTGTATTGGAAAGAACATTAGTTTTCAAGCCAGAGGACCTGGATTTGAATCCTGGCACAGCTACTTGCTTACATGTGTGATCTTCATCTGATTACTTATAACCTCTTTGTGCCTCAATTTTCTCATGTGTGCAATGGAGTCAGCGTTGTACTAGATCAGTAGTATCGAACAAATAGAAGTGAGTCCCTGCCCGCCACATATTGACTTAACCACAAATTAACATCATCTTTGTTGTATTTTTATTTCTTTCATACAACATTTCCCAGTGAGCTTGACACCTCTGGACGAGGGGAGCTCTAAGGAAGGTCTCTTGTAGCTCTAAATCTGTGATCCTGTGGTTCACCAGACTTGTTCAGTATGTTTATATCAAGAAACTTTGTCTTTCTGTTGATAGTTCTGTGGCTCAAATTTTGAGTCCACTGATAACTCTAATTCCCCAATTCATAAACTTAAGTGGAGGCAGTGTGCCAAATATGGGAAAACCTGTGAAATAGCTGTCTGGGATTTCTTTTGGAAGCCCACCAGGTAATAGCTAAAAGAAAGAGTTTCATTCCTCATCTTGTTATGTTCAGTAGTGCCACTGACTTGCCCTTCCCAGTATGTCAGTAGTTATTTTTTAAATTTATACTCCCAGCAGTCACTCCAATGGCTTCAGCTCAAAGGCAAAGAATTTTGTAAATAGTGTGTTGAGAATGAAATTCATTTATTTCTTTAATTGTTGAAGTTTATTTCTCTAAGCCATGTTTCCTGACTTCCATGGGTGACTTTGTGTTGAAGAACAATTAGAAGTCTTCCTCCTCAATACAGGCCAGTTTATTTTCACCTAATTTTAGGCATTTTAGATGAGATTGTTTTAATGGTAGTGATGACCCATGAATATGTTTTTGTACCTAATTTTTGCCTTTCTTCTAGGACTATCAGTGCTGGGGATAGCTATTAGTCTCTACCTCATCCCCTTTTGCAAGCAAGCAGTATTACTGGTTGTTATGATGGCTGTCTCTGGAATTTTTGGTGGAATTTTAAGCACAGGTGAGTGGATATTTCTGCCATTATTCCTGTGTGGAAGAGAGGAGGGAAGGAAGAGAAGATAGCTTCTTTTAGAAAACAGTAGAGAAAACTGTTTTTTCTAATTCTCAACTAGGTTACTCTTCCACATGGCAGTTGTTCCTGGAACAGATATTGTTCATTTACTTAGGTGGAAAATAAAGGACAATAATGCTTGGCAGGTGTGAGGGTGACTTGTGACTGTCCTGCTTCATAAGCAGTAGGTGTTAGTGGTTAGGATCTGCCCTTCGGGTGGATGTTTCCAGCACCAGGACCTTCTCATTCTTTGCAGTTCTTGTCCTTCCATAAATCTTCCACAGAGATTTTACCCATTGTGCAGTAGGCCTTCTTCTTGGGCTGTTAGCCTTTGAATGGTTGTACCAGAGGTGAGGAACCTGCAGCCTTGAGGCCACAGGTGGCCTTCTAGATCCTTAAGTGTGGCCTTGTGATTGAATCCAAGTTTTATCTTTCTTCTGTAAAATTTGGATTCAGTCACAAGGCCGCACTTCAGGATCTAGAAGGCCACCTGTGGCCTCAAGGTTGCAGGTTCCCCACCCCTGGGTACTATTTGATGGGTTGTCATCAGCACAGCCCTACAGGCTGTCCATCTGCTTCCCTTTGTCTCACTCCATGAGCCACCCACATCCTTTTCTGATCAAGCTTGTGCTTGATGATGTCTTTTATACCACTTGTGTGTACCAGTTGTTGCTTATACACTTCAGAATGCTTACACCAAAAAGAAAAAGAAAAAAAGAAGGGGCAGCTAGGTGGTGCAGTGGCTAGAGCACTGGCCCTGGATTTGGTAGGACCTGAATTATACCTCAGACACATGACACTTACTAGCTGTATGACCCTGGGCAAGTCACTTAACCCCATTGCCTAGTGAAAAAAAACTCCCAAAAAACAGAATACTTACACATAGTCTGTCTCTCCATTGTCCTTTGGGTCACTTGGCCATTTTGATGCTTCAGAGAGCATGGCATTTATAATTAGGTAGGTTCACTGAGGAAAATTTCAATGTTCACTGTGTCTGTAGCATTCTTTTCTAATACTTAAATGGTACAAAAGTACTCCAAAACTGTTAGAGTTGCCTGAGGTTTGAAAGTGGGTTAGTGGCATTTGGTTACTTAGCCTTTTGGGAGGTAAGAGGAGGCAGGAGGTGGGTCTTGACTTGTGATTTCACTGGCAGTGAACCCTAAATAAGGAAACACCCTCTAGCAATGCATATTAGTGAGTTTTCTGCAACTCAGCCAGCTGCCGAGGACCATATGGCTGGTATATATTAGAGATAGGACTTGAACCCAGAGCTTCCTGACTCCCTAACTGGCTCTCTGGCTTCTGTGCTGGGCTTCCTCTTGGCTTAGCAAATTATAGTTTATATTACTAGTGTACTATTTCTGACAACAGAAGCTCTTCAAAACACAATTACTACATTGACTTTCAAGATATTAATGGCATACAGAATTTTTAACACAAAAATGTAATTCTTTTTATTATTTGTAGGTGGCAATGTCCTTATCCTGCATTTATGGAGAGGTGAAGCAGCCCCACATCTGCAGGCCTTGCATTTCACTTTTGCCTTGGGGGCCTTTTTGGCTCCCTTACTGGCCAAGCTGGCCTTCAGCAGTGCTGTGCCCTCTGAAAACCACATGATAGGTGACACATCAAACCACTCTGAGCTCACCCTGCCCCCTGCAGCCGACTTAGCAGTCATATTTGGAGTACCTGCTAACAAGAATTTGCTATGGACTTATGTTGTTATAGGAACTTATACTTTGGCGATATTTTCCTTATTTGTTGTTTTGTTTTTCCAAAAAATTCCAAATCAAGAGAAAACAAAAAAAGCTGCTGAGAAGATTCGAACTGTGAAATACCAGAATGTCCTTCTTGGTCTTCTTTTTGTGTTCTTCTTTTTTTATGTAGGAGCAGAGGTCACATATGGCTCTTACATTTTCTCTTTTGCAGCACAGTATGCTGGCATGAGTGAAAGCCAAGCAGCAGGCTTGAACTCTGTCTTCTGGGGATCAATTGCTACTACCATGACCGTGGCGATCTGTTTTGCTACATGTCTGCAGCCTGGGACCATGATTGTGTTCAATAATGTGGGCTGGTTGATTTCCTCCCTGCTTCTAGTGATTTTTGATGAAAACCACATTTGTCTTTGGGTGGCAACTGCATTGTATGGGGTTTCCATGGCTACTACATTTCCCAGTGGCCTTTCCTGGATTGAACAGTATATGACCATTAAAGGAAAATCTGCAGCTTTATTTGTAATTGGTGCTGCCCTGGGGCAGATGGTTTTTCCTGTAGTGGTTGGATCTCTTCAGAGAAATTATCCATATCTTCCTGGGCTTCTGTATGTTTCATTGGGGTCAGCTATTGTGACGGGAGTTTTGTTTCCTATCATGTACAAACTGGCCACTGCACCTCTTAGTAGCAAGATTCAGGAAAGCAGAAAGAGTGAAGACCAGAAAGCACTGCTGTCCCCCTCTAGGTTCGATAATGAGGATGAAGATGATTATGGAGAAGAGGGTGCTGAAGAAGAATGGGACAAAGTATACTTTGAAATGAATGATACGATGAAGAATTCGGTAATACTGACATCTAGAAAAATTTTGAGGAAATCTCCCACAGAAGTTTCTAGCCAGTTATTGTCAAATGACATACCATTCAGTTCTTCTCTGGTTATTACTGGCAGCTCACCTATGAAGCCCCTCCCTTTGGACAGGGAAAAGAATGACTAATGGCTTAAAACAGGGATTGGTTATTGATTCCCTGTAACAACCATTGCCTTTTAGGAGGCAGAACAGAGTAGATCATTAACATATTTTCAAACATATTTCAGGGTTTGGCACTTGTAGCTCTGATTTCAACAAATGGAAAATTCTGATGTGTCATGTCAGTTCAGAGTCTTTGACAGCAAAAGGAGGTCAGGTATGGTAAGGTGTGGCTAGTAAAGTGACTTCACTGTAAAGTGACTCCCTACATTCAGAAGCTTCAAAGAAGGCATAAATATTTGAGAAGTTTCTTACCAGCAAAAGCCAACTGAAAGTGATTAAAGAGTAGAATAAATTACCAGCATTCAGGAAACTACTGGTGGAGTTGGTAAATAACCACTCCAGTATCTTTGCCAAGAAAATGCCAAAATGGGGGGATGAAGAATTGAACCAACTGAAAAACAACAATAGTTCAGATCCTCATCATCTCTCGATGACCCAATTGGTCTCTTCCTCAGGTGTCTTCCCCTACTCCAATCCATCCTCCACTCAGCTGCCAGAGTGATTTTCATGAAGTATTCATCTGACTGTATCACCCCCTTCTAAAGAAACTCCATTAGTTAACTGTTACATTCAGGATCAAATATAAAATCTTCTGTTTGGTACTGAAAGCATTTTACAGTCTGCCCCCTTCCTGCCTTTCCAGCCTTCTACTTCTCAGTTTAAATCCCATTTCTTAATTTCCCAGCTAAGTAAATAAAAACATGTAGAAAATTACTTTATCGAGGAAGAACACCAACAACGTCACGTAGGAGGGAGAAGCTACATTTTGCTAAAAGGTACCAGAGGCTTAACAGCAAATTGCATAGCATCCAAATTCTTACAGGAAAAATTAAATTAGTTATAGGAGGAAGTAGATAGTAAAACTATACTAGTGGAGCATTTAAATTTACCCTTTTCAGACCAAAATAAATCTAACCATGTAATAAACAAGAAAGAAGTTAAGGAGATGAATAGAATTTTATGAAAGTTAAGATATGATGAATATTGAATGGGAATGGAAAGGAATATTCTTTTTTCACCCCTGTGCGTGGCACCTTTACAAAATTTGAGCATGTACTAGGGCTCAAAAAAGTATAAAAAAAAGTTTTCAAATTAAAAGGTATATATGTATATACATATATTCAATAAAGGGCCTTTAAAGCACAGAGTAACAGTAGCAAGTGAGCAAGGAGGTGGAGTAAATAAGGGTGCTGGGTAGGGACTCAGGAAGACCTAAATTCAAATCTGGCCTTTGACTCAATAGTGATTTGCCCCCCAGGCAAGTCACTTAACTCCTATTTGTCTCAGTTTCCTTATCTGTAAAATGGGGATAATAGTATCTACCATCCAGGGTTTTTGTGAGGATCAAATAAAATTATAAGTGTAAAATTATTAGCATAGTGTCTGGCAAAGAATGAAGAGTATATAAATGTTAGATTTTGATTCGTTGGACACTGCATCACCTAGTCCTGAAGACTGACAGGGTCAGGCTTCCGCTTCAGGAAGCCAAGATGGCACAGTAAAAAGGTAGTCCCTCTCACCCTCCCCTATCAACCTCTGAAAACCCAGAAAATATCACCCCAGAAAAAAAAACCCTGAAGCAGCTGAACTAGAAGGAAGATGGGGAACAGCAGTGCAGAAGCCCAGCAAATGGATGTCCCAGTGCCTCAGCAAAAATAAGAGAAGCAGCACTACAAAGGGCCCAAGGCAGATAAGCACCCTGCAGCATTCATCTGAAAGGAGCTGAAGAAAACAACCTAGAGTCTTCCTAAAGTCCCAGCCTTGCTGATTCCAACCTAATACCAGGTAAGCTGTCAGAACCCTACAGCCTCCAACTGTCAATCAGGAGGAGATCCTGAAGCCAAGGTGGTAGAGCAGGGAAACACCAACACCTCCACCTCCAAGTGCCTCAGTGAGGGTGGGGGAAATTGGTGGAAACCAGCTCAGAAAACCACCAGGTGACTTGGCACTCTACCTCAAAGGAATCTCCCAGTGCATTAGCAGAAACCCAGGGAGGCAGCATTGCAGAGGGCCCCAGGTAGATAAACACCCTGCAGCACCCATCTAAAAGGAGCTGAGGAAAGCTAAATGAAAGAAAAAGCAGACAACCTAGAATTGCCTGAAAGTTCCAGCCTTGCTGATTCCAGCCCAACATAAAGTAAGCTGCCAAAACCCTACAGCCTCCAATTGCCAACATAAGAGGCCCCAGCACACAAAGCCAGTGACCAAGATCTAGGCTCCCAACACAAGAAGCTTGGGTCAGTGCCCTCTGTTCCCCAGCAGGAGAGCTCAATCTCTTTAAAGGCCAGGGAATAAAGAAACCATGAGTAAAAAGAAACATACCATAGATTCATATTATGAGAAGAGTGAAGATCAAGACAGAAATTCTGAAGGGGACAACATTGTCAACAGACCCACATCTGCAACATCACAAGGGAATATGAACTGGTGTGAAGCCCAAAAAGCCTTCTTAGAAGAGCTTAAGAAGAATTTTAAAAGTCTAATGAGAGAGGTAGAAGAGTCCTTAAAAAATACATGTGGCCAATTGGAAAAAAACTGCACTGAAGAAAACAAGTCCCTTAAAAATACAATTGGCCAATTGAAGAAGGAAGTATAAAAGCTAACAGAAGAAAACAATCTGTTAAAAGCTAGAATTGGACAAATGGAAACTAATGACTCTATGAGAGAGCAAGAATCAGTTAAACAGAAACAAAAAAAATGAAAAAATAGATGAAAACATAGAATACCTCATCGGTAAAACAACTGACCTGGAAAATCGATCCAGGAGAGACAATTTAAAAATCATTGGTATACCTGAAAATCATGATGAAAAAAAGAGCCTGGACAGTATCTTTGAGGAAATCATGAAGGAAAACTGCCCAGAAGTTCTAGAACCAGAATGTAAGGTAACCATAGAAAGAATACACCACTTGCCACCTGAAAGAGATCCCAAATTGACAACGCCAAGGAATATAATAGCAAAATTCCAAAATTACCAGGTGAGAGAGAGGGTGCTGCAAACAGCCAGAAAGAAACAATTTAAATATCATGGAACCACAGTTAGAATTACACAGGACCTTGCAGCTTCTACATTAAAAGACCACAGGGCGTGGAACATGATATTCCATAAGGCAAAGGAGCTTGGATTGCAGCCAAGGATCAACTACCCTGCAAAAATGAGCATGATTTTTCAAGGGAGGAGATGGATATTCAATGAAATAACTGAGAGAGGCAAAGAAAAAATTCATAGAAACAATAATTTCATTAAAGATAATGGCAACAATGCGCCAAAATGCTAAAATTTGTTGTTGCCAAGCAGTACTTGGTGGAAAATTTATATCTCTAAATGCTTACTTCAATAAAAGAGACAAAAACAGATTAACAAATTGGAAATGCAACTAAAAAAGTCCGTAGAAGACTAAGATGTTAAAAACCTGTAATCAGACACCAAAAGAGGGACAGCTAGTTGGTGCAGTGAATAGAGCACCAGCCCTGGATTCAGGAGTTCAAATCTGGCCTCAGACACATAAAACTCATTACCTGGGTGAGTCTGGGAAGTAACTTCACCCTAATTGCCTCACCAAATAAATACAACCTAAACGAAGAAACCCCAGAACATCAAAATAGAAATCCTGAAAATCAACATTGAAAGTTTGCAAAAGAAAAAAAAACACTGAGCTAATAAAGGAAACTTAACAGCTTTTGGGTTTTTTGGCAAAAATAAAATAATTAAACCTATGGCTAATTTGATTTTTAAAAAAAGGAAAATCAAATGACCAGTATCAAAGTGAAAAAAAGGTGAATATATAACCAATGAAGAGGAAAGAACAGCAATGATTAAGAGCTATATTGTTCAACTCTGCACCACTGAAACTGATGATCTAAATGAAATGGATGAATATTTACAAAAATATAAACTGTCCAGATTAACAGAAGAGGAAAAAGAATGCTTAAGTAATCTTATCTTAAAAAAAGAAAATGAACAAACCATCAATGAGCTCCCTAAGGAAAAAGGAACCAGATGGATTTTCAAGTAAATTCTATCAAACATTAAAAAATAACTCCACAAAACACTAGTAACCTAGTGTTTGAGAAACCCAAAGATCCCTGTTATTGGGGTAAGAACTCACTACTTGATGATTGTTGGGAAAACTGGAAAGTAGTCAGCAGAAATTAGGCATAGATGAAGATCTCACACTGTATACCAAGATAAGCTAAAAATGCATGCATGATTTTGTCATTGAAGGGTAATGTCATGAGCAAATTAGTAGAGCAGAGCAGAAATTATTTACCAGATGTATGGATAGGGGAAGAGTTTATAAGCAAATGAAACAGGAGTCCTACCCAATTCCTTCTGTGACATAATTATGATTTTGATAGACACAATATCTTCAAATAAAATACTAACAAGGAGATTACAACAATATATCACAAAGATAATGTACTATTACCAGGCTGAATTTATATGAGGAATGTAGTGCTGGTTCAATATTAGGAAAACTATAAGCGTAATTGACCATATCAATAAAAAGTAAAAATCACATGATTATTGCAATAAATGCATAAAAAGCTTTAGGCAAAATTTAATACTCATTCCTGTTTAAAAAAAAATTAGGAAACACAGGACTAAAAGGAGCTTTCCTTAAAATAAGTAGCATCTATTTAAAACCATGATTAAGCATTTTCTGTAATAGGAGTAAGCTAGAAGTCTCTTGTAGCAAGATCAGGAGTAAAGCAAAGTTGTATATCATTACCATTACTATTTGATATTGTCCTAGAAATGTTAGCAGTGGCAATGAGACAAAAAAAGAAACTGAAGGAACAAGTATAGGATATAAGGAAACAAAGCTATCGCTTTTTGCAGGTAACGTGATAGTTCACCTAGAGAACCCCAAGGAGTCAAAAAACAATTAAAGCAACTACTTCAGGCAGGTTGCAGGATATACAACAAACTCATATAAATCATTAGCCTTTCTGTATATTACCGATAAAATCTGGCAGGAAGAAAGAGAAATTCCATTTAAACTAACTACAGGCAATATAGAATATTTAGAATTGACCACTTTCTCTCCTGAATATTCTCTCCTTCCTGGGTTTTTGTGCCTCCACTTCTTGGTTCTCCCACTGTCTGACTGTTCCTTCTCAGTCTGCTTTGTTGGATCCTTATCCATGTCCATCCCCTATGCATGAGCGAATTCCAGGACTGTCTCGGCCCCTCTTCCTTCGTTCTCTATAATCTTTCTTAGTGATCTCATCAGCTCTAATGGACTCAATCATCTCTATGTAGATTACGACTCTCAAATCTACATGAAGCTTTCATGTTCATCCTGACCTAGTTCAGCATCACAAACTTCCTGCTAGAAATCTCCACCAAGTGGTTTTTCCCTTTTCTTCTGATTCTTCTTTCACCATATGACTAATGTGGAAATATGTTTAATGTGATTGTGCATGTATACCCTATATCACATTGCTTGCCGTCTTGGGGGAGAGGGCAGGGGAGGAAGGGAGGGAGAAAAAAATTCAGAACTCAAAATTTCATAAAAGTTAAAATTAAAAAATTAAATTAAAAAAGAGAAGAAATCTTCATGAAGACATCTCATAGGCCTCTCAAACCGAGCATGTC